AAAAAAGAAGCAAACTAACTTCTTGTTTATCTCAGGGGCTGGACATGACTATCATGGTGAAGACATATGTGTTCCCCTAAACCCTGAAGTGGTCAAACAGAGGGCAAGATGTTTCCAGTGGATAACTTCGCAGCATGGTTTTCAAAAACATGTCTTACTTTAAACCAGGCCAATTAATGCCCGGCCAAAAATCCATCCTCTGAGCCGCTTTGTGTGCAGTTATTATTGTCTGTAGTTATTATTGGGGAAGGCTAAGGGAGGCGCTTGGCTGAACTAGGCGTGTCGTGCTGCCTGCAGACCCAGACCATGAAGCATCCCAGAGAACATGGTTTTGTCAAAGTGATATCAAGTTAGGCCTATGCCAGTGTCAAAATTTTGTCAAATTTTAGTGGCCTGATTTGACGTCAATTTGACATCCCTTAACGTCATGTGATATCAAAATGACGTCATATCAAGCCACCAAAATGACAAAATTTTGACACTGACATCACGTGATGTCATTTTTACAAAACCTTGTTCTCTCTGGGATGGATAAGGGAGGCGCAACAAATTTACCCTTTTCTACCGGAGGTTCATTCATTTTAGATGAGTTTTTAACTACTTTCCTTACTTGTCGTCTTGCGCACGCTTGCCTCGCGCTCTGTCCCCTCACCCCTCTTCTCGCCCCCGTCGTCGGCCAAAACCTGAGACCTGAGGGGTAGTTCCCCCCTCCCCACAGTGTCGCGACACCTCTCCCGCAGACCATACATCATCACACAACACCACCGCGCCTGAAGCTGGATGGAGAGCTGAGCGCACGGGAGGGGGCTTTTCATCCTGTGTTCACACATCATTTTTGTGGGGAAGCGTTTGCTTTCCTCAGATCCCAGATTACTTGCTTTAAATGAACTTAGGACCTGTGACTCCTAGGATAATGGGGTGGTCTAGTAGGATATAATGCTGCAACTAGAAACTGTGCGGGACAGAAAATGTCGTACAAACGTGTTACAAACGTAGAAGAACGCTCGTCCTACTCTTGCAACAGTACACTAAAAGCAAAAGTGTGCAACTGGCATGCACATGGTAGTGTTGAACTAAATGGTGCACTCTTTTGGGCGTTTGGCCTGAAAATTTGAATACTTGAAAGTGTTCAACAGTATATTTGATCGGACAGTTTAAAATGTCCAAAGCTGAATGGTCAACCCTGCACTTTATAGTGCACACTAAATGGCAAGAGACAACTTTTGTACGTAGGCTAGATGTGTTCTTGTGCACATCTAAATCAGTTAGGATACACATGAGGTATTCTATTGGTACAAAGAAAATTAAGGAAGAACAGGCCAGATCATCACAAGCCTTCCATTGTTTTTCGAAAGTCGTCTGCTAAAACAATTGAAAACAGTCAATTTCCGAAAAACAGTAGAAGGCTTGTGATGATCGGACCTGTTTTTCCTGATCTTCTTCATACCATGCAATAAAATACCTCATTTGTATCTACTTTACATACAAAATAAAGCATTTGTACCTAGAATAGGTACAACTCCTTACAGACAGAATCGTATCTGATGAAGATGTGCACAATAAGGGCACATCTAACTTAAATACCAAAATTGTCCCTCCCCCTTTTAGAGTGTGTTCAACTTTACTGGTGGCCACTCACTATCATTCAAATATCCAGTCAAACACTTCAAGCGCGCAACATAGTGTTGAGCTCTTCTTGCATGTGCACGCCAGTTGCGCCCTTTATTCATCAGCGTAAGACAGTTGTTAATGGTTGTGCTCGGGCGCATGCCCGCTTACAAAGTACTCAGCCAGACCCCATCCCTTGCGTCAGACTCGAGGCGGGGCCGGAAGAGCAATACAAGGCGGAGCAGGGGCGGAGCCGGGGCGTCGCGGGGCGTGGCGGGGCGTGGCGGAGCAGGGGCATAAGAAGCCACCCCCGCCATTTGCGTTGACGCGCCGTCGACCGGTCAGCCACAACAAGCGGCGGCGGGGCTTTGTATCAAATTAGAAGGCACCCCGCCCCTCGCCCCCCGCCCCGTTGCACCGCGGTTCAGCGCCGCCGGGGTGAGGGAATGACGCCAAGCAAAAGCCTTGTCGATATTGTTGTTGTTGTTGTTATCGTCCTCCACGACACACTTCGTAAGCGGGGCGACGTCCTCGACGTCACTGTTCTCGCGGTCGCGGTTACCACCCCCGCACCATGCACCTCTTACCCCAGCCTGGAGAATGCAGCAGGGGCGGGTCGCACAGGTTTATCCTGTTCGTGTGGGAGCAAGTTGTTACCACCATTGCTTTTTTTCTGAAAAAAGAACTTCATCGATAGATGCTTACGTCTACGGAGTGAGTCGATTAGCTTTTGGTTGAAAAACTTATGGTGTAAAGAAGGTCGGGGATGCAGAACATAACATCCGATAACACGGCGTTCAAGTGTTCTTTGCAGGCAGTTAGTTGGGGGTTTTTCCTTGCGCATTCAAAGCGATAATATTGAAGCTCTTCAGCTCGCCTGAGTTCGCCGTCTGAGGCCACATTCTCCATTATGACTTCAATATTATTGTGACTATGGATATTAGCAAATACATTTCTTGTTCGTGTTTGCTCAAATGTCAGAAATCATCGAAGCTCTGTAACTCAATTGACATCATCACGTGGTCAAGGTTGATAGGGAGCCCAGCACTTAGAAGAATGTCCTCCATCACTGCAAATCCTGGAGTGAGATTTCTGACCTAAAAAGAGCGAGAGTTTTTCTCCTTGCTCAATTAAAGTGATGATTTAGAAACCTCGCTCTTATTGAGAATGATTCTTAAATCTCACTCAAATCAAGAGAGATTTACTTCAGAAATCCTAACTCAAAAAGAGCGAGGTTTTCTAATTATCACTCAAATAGAGTGACATTTCTTAATCTATTGCTCTAATCGAACGAGAAAATCAAACCTCGCTCTCCAGAGGGCGAGAAAATTTGGTGCAAATTCTCGCCCTCCCTCGCTTTAGGATTCCTAGTGATACGTTATATCGTGCCCAGCATTCTTAATATCTTACGAATAATTAGTGTTCATAGTATGAACGCCACTGTTCATATGAATCTCACATTCATATCATAAAGAATTCTTTGCTGTCATAGTATAAACACAATCTATTCGTAATGTGAACGTCTTCATTCATAATATTCATGATTTTTGGATTCGTACGTATTATGAATTGCGTACCCTAGAGGCAATGATACCATACGGATGGGGCGCGTAGGCGGGTAGGCAAAGGCATAGTGCTGCGTCGTAGCCCTGACACACAGTATTTTTCTCGCACATCGCACATCCCTCTCTTATTAGCTCTATGTCCGGTACACCGATGATATGCAGTAGAGAGCCCGGGCCCTGCAGAGTAGACACACACATACACACACAGGTACACGCGCGCACACACGCACCCACACAGGTGCGCGCTCGCGCCGCACGTGTAGCCTGCGCGTACGGCCTGCAGGGCCTGCACCTGTTGCACTACCTCTATTACTCACACAAACACGCACCGCTCTCTCTCTCTCTCTCTCTCTCTCTTTCTCACGCACAGCCAGGTGCTCGCTCAGGCGGCCCGCGGGCCCGCCGGCCGCCGTCCGCGGTCGCGCCACCGTCCACCTCCGCCAATCCCGAGCGCCGGTCGCGCGGCCGCGGGGCGCCCCCCGGGGGAGGAGGGGGCGGGGAGGGGCTGTGGAGGGGCTGCGGAGGGGGTATTCGCGAGCGGACGCCGGCGACGCGTCGTGCAAAAGGGACCGCGAACGATCGGCATGCGCGGGGCGTGGTGCGGCGGAGGTTTGCTCTTGAACACGCCTCACGATATTAATGTCACCGGTAAAAACGTTTCACAGCGCGAACAACGTCATCGGCCGTCAATTTTCTTCCTCAAGTTTTCGTTTTAGATTTTTTTCAATTTTTTTTTTTCGGGTCGGTTATATTTCGGGGCGTTTGTTATCCCCGGTGGTAAACGGTGCGAGGCATACCCGGCGATAGCTCGCGAGCGATAGCTCGGCGGGGATCGATTTAGAACAGGTCGGCCCCCAATGCGGCGCGAGGGCGGGTGCGGCGCGTGCGCGGGTCGCGGGGTCGCGCCGCTCCGGCCGAGGAGCAGTAGGGCTCCCGGGCCTAAGAGCGCGGGTTACCCTAGAGCCAAAAACAGGGGGAGGTAGAAAAAAAGGGGCATTCTCGGCCTGCCTGTGTC